GCACTTAAGAATGATGACCTCCCATGCTCCCTTCGCGCTAGTCGCACCGTCAGTGCAGAGCGCGTTGTCCAGTTCCTTGTTTGAAAAAGTACAAAACAGCTCAAATCTCGCGTTTCACAGTGAATGGTTTTTGCTTCGAGGGTAGGATAAATTTGTGCCGACAACGCTCATTTCGAGGCTGGGTCTGAAATGTGGGTGTACAGGTGCGATTTCAATCTATCGGCGGTGGACCTCTCTTGGTGAGATGTTATCACGGGAGTGGATGAGGGCATGGGAGGTCATCCACCCGCTCTCTGTCATCAATCTCTCACAGAACACCGAGAAAATGGGAACGATGAAGGGAGTTACGACCTCGAACTAGGCGAGAGGCAAATCCCTTTGCGGGGTTCAGCACTAAATATTATTTTGAAACAGTGTTTTTTTTTCCAGATAAGCCGTTTATTTGTGAGCACGCCAACTGCAATAAAAGATTCGCCAACAAATTCCTCCTGAAGAAGCATCAGTTTATACACACAGGCCTTCGACCGCATACTTGTCCTTATTGCAGTAAACGGTATGATAGTTATGGTTCTTACGTTGTGGTTCTAGCTTAATACTCGATAAAAACTAAAGCAGTCTGTTTTTCTGCAAAGGTCTCATGTTCAATTTGGCTTTTTTGACGCTTCAGTGAAATCAGCTTAAATATTATTTACAATGATGTACTAATTTTAAACGGCCGCAACAAGTACAAATCTTACAGAAATTTTTCAACTTGAAATTCTAAAATTATGCAAATTGTTCATGACAGTATTACGAAGTGCAGAGTTTGTGTTCAGTTATTATTGCAGTTTCACTCAAGTTATTCTACGTATCTAATACCGAAGGGCGTTTTTGCTTTTGGAAGACATCCACACTTAAATTAGGTGGAAAGAGTGGTCTTATCCACTTCTCTATCTTCTTTGTTTATTTGTGTTCTTGTCAGCGCTGAAAGTAAAGCAAAGGGACAAAATTTAAGCATAATAGATGATGGTTGTCTTTGTCATGAGATATAAGCACAACACTATTAGAGTTTTTTTCCAGATTCAATCGGAAGGACAACTTGCTTCGGCATAAAAAGACTCATTTACAAACGAGCGTCGTCGAAGATCGCAGGGGTCTTCCAGAAGCATTCAATGGGTTATTTCCGGGATTCGGAAGTACTCTGGGTCTCGATTTGAAAATGGAGGGCATGGATGCCATCAAAATAGAAGCGCTTGATGCTTTTAGAGTTGAAAATAATGATGACTAGTCTGCTTGAGGCGAATCTATTTTATCATGGTCAAGATAGTCCAGAGGAGGCGAACGAAGATGTCTTCCAGGGCTATGAAATATGCATGGAAATTTCATCTGATCGCATGAACAGAGCTCATTTCGAGGCAACCCTCTCGTCAGAATTCTTCAAAACTAATATAATTCGTACGACCTTCGCAAGCCATTCTTTTCT